GCGTGTGTGTGCGTGTGTGTGTGTGTGTGGTGTACGTGCTGTATCCAGTGCCCATACGTGTTCCCTGAGACAGCTCCTGACACTCTGAGCATTCCACGCGTTTGACAAGCCGCCCCTGTCCCACGAGACAGACTGTCTCTCGTTGTGACTAACGCATCACTAAGCTGTTTACACACTTGGATCTCAAATTGTTAGTCAATTTGCAAGGATTCAGAAACAATGCAATTGAAAATTGCTGTGACTCTCAGCTAATTAATTAATAAATGTGTTAATTAGAATAAACAGAGCTTGTAACAAGAGGATTTTGCTTGGAACGCAATAATGATAATAATACTAATCCTTGCACCTGATACAGCGCCTTATCACATCTTCCGGACGTTCTCAAAGCGCTTCACAGAATAACTGTAAAGCAGATTGATTGTATATTTTGGGGGTGAAACACGGCAGCCAATTGCGCACAGCAGCGTCCCCACAAACAATCGTGGACTGAGCGACCAAATTATTATTTTTAAAAATAAATCTTTCTTTGAAGGGATTATTACCCCGGAAAAGCGATCTGCCAATCGACTAACAACCGAGTTCCTACTTACTGCTGAGGTGGGGGGCTCTGCTAACTCTCGTTCACACGCTCACACCGCCTCTCTCCCTCTCTCTCTCTGTGTGTGTGTGTGTGTGTGTGTGTTGTTGTGGGTGAAATCACAGACGAGCCGCGGAGTTTGGTGTAAAAAGATTTCACATTTTATCCAGGAATCAGAAGGAAACATTTAAAAACTCTGGCAAAAACCGTGAATTCCCCATCGCTGAGCGAGTCGTGTCTGAAGCTTCCTTCAACTAGGTACTAAATGCAGAGTAAAAAAACACGGACGCTGGATTCACAGCGGAAATCTGGGCGACATTTTGTGCTTTTCAAGGTGAGAGAAGCGTCTTCTACATATATACATATACTTTTTCCATCTCTCAGGCCTAAAATTCCGCCAGGTCTTAGCCTCAGGACCATTATGGAGTCAAGCTTGATCAATCGACTGATCAGTCGTCTCAGAACTCTTTGAATTTGCATCTCCAGCTACCTTTGCGGTGAGGAAATTCAATGACATAATAATAATAATAATAATAATAATTCTTGCATTTGATATTGCACCTTATCACGTCTTTGAGACGTCTCAAAGTGCTTCATAGGATATACTGTAACGTGGAGTGACAGTGTGTTTTGTGGGTGAATCTCGTGGGCTTCGCAATCAAAGATTTTTCCAAGGGTTCTGCTCTGCGCAAATGTAGTAGTCTTGAGGAGAATGGTCTGAAGGCTAAGAGCAGGAAGAATGTTGGGGCAGCTCTCATGAAAGTTGACAGTGCCCTCACATCACCAAAGGACAAGCATTTGGTTCTGGTCACAGAAGAGCTGTCAAGACCAAGAATGCTTGAGGACAATATCTCCACATGCCAGAGGCCAACCATGACACACTCACATCCCCAGAGCACGTGGATCCCGACTGAGATCAAGATATACGAGCGGAGACCAGGAAATAAACCCTCGCCTCCTGTCTTCTGTTCCCTACCAGACTATCCCACTGATCCGGCCTCGACAGCCACTTGTGGGAAGGAGTCCCAACCCCCTAGCCCATCTCCCAGCCAAGTCCTTCTTGCTAATCTCTCCCCTAGTTCGCTGTGAGAAGGGGATTTATTGTGGGAGGGTATTTATTGAGCTAAACGGGTTTAAAAAATTCCAGTTGGCTTTACTGCACTGGGACGAACACATTTAAAGGCCATGTCACTGAGAGGCAACACTGAATGGAATTTTTTAGCCCCAAGTCCTCACAGCGAGTCATGTTTCTTAAAGGCCACCCTAGGGGGGGAAACTCCGCTGGACCGCTGGATGAAGGGCGCTACTACACCGCAGTGATTTGAATGGCCCATTAGTGAGGCGATGTAGACATCAAAACGCTGACGACATATCACAGTCCTCAGAGCGTCTCTCACCAGGTAACACTAACTGTGGGAGAGGGGAACTGACAGCTAGACGTTGATAACTATGCGAACGCACAGACAGATACGTAAGTGACAGAATATTCCCAACGCTTGGCAGCCCTGATACACGGAGACGACCAGGGCCGTCGTGGGGCTTTGCCGGCGACTTAAAGATCGACGAGGCAGACCGAGAATTGTCTTTGCGATTTGGTGAGATTTATGGGCTGTGGTTCAGACCTCGTTCCTCCCCCTGTCTGCCCACGCACACACGCCCCTCCCTCCCTCCCTCCCCACCCCCCCCCCCCCACTTCAATCTCTCGATGGTCCCAGTTTGTGACTTTGGCTTACCAACGCGCATTGGCAAAGCTGTACCCTGTTTGTACCCTCCTGTGTTGATGTTCCTCGAGGGCTGCTCTGGCTCGGGGCCTCAGTTGCCTGTGGTCTGTTTGATGCTGTGGAAACTGACCCTGGTCGGAGATGTTGGGATGGACATGGCTCTGGCCACCCGGGCACGGATCGAGTGCTTGTCCTGCCAACGGTGCCAGCGTTTCCTGATGGCGGATCGAACCTGCCGAAGGACATCCAGAGATAAATAAACCACACAGCAAACGCCAGAACATAGAGAGGGCTGGGTGAAAGAGACCCTTTGACCCAATTGGCCTCATCCTTCGAGACTCCCTGCCCGACCCCCTCCTCCCATCACAGCCGCCAGATGTTTGTCAAATAAGCCCCAGCCTCAATCTTCCCCCCCCCCGCCCCCCACCCCCTTCCCATCACCTCTCCCTCCCCATATTGAGCTGGTAATTACCATTCTGTGTAAGGAAACACTTCCTGGTGTTTCCATCACATCTGGAACCTGTGACCTCCTCACAGGGACACAAAGAAGCCATTCATGCTGTGGACCCTGTTCCACCAGTTCATTGGATGGCTGCAGATTTCTCAATCCTATTAACCCTTAAATAATCCTTTCTTCCCAAATATCTATCCTTCCTCCCCTGTTAGACACCCTGATTGGTTCTGCCTCTGAGAGCCGTTGGGGGCAGTGAGTGCCCTCAGCCGCTTTGCAGAGTAAAAACGACGGCAGATTTTCTTTTACCAGTTGGCGAGGATTGCGTTTCGACTTTGGCTTTCGATCTCCGAATAAAACCGCGGTCTTTTCTCGCTCCTTTCTTACCTCTCCGTTCAAGAAGCAGTAAAACATCGAGACAAAGAAACCCTGTGAGAGCGAGAAAGAGAGTGAGAGAGAAAAGAGAGGGAGGGAGGAAAACAGAGAGTAAAACATTACCGCCAAAGAAGGACCAAAGGAGCTTCTCAAAGCTCTTCACAGAATATACTGTAAAGTGAACGGACTGTGTATTTTGTGAGCGAAACATGGCAGCCAATTGCACACCGCGACGTCCCACAAACAGCCGTGGGTTGAAGTGATCAAATTATTATTATTATTATTATTTTGTGAAAACCCAGGTTTCCGCAGCTAGAAATTCTTAAAGCAGAACATCCAAAGGAATATCAAACTTGGCGGTGCGGACGTGAGTGTGTGTGTGTGTGTGTGTGAACTGTGTCCATGATGTACCTGAAAGGACTCGAGGAAGGAGTTGAAGTAAATGAAGACAATCTGAGAGACGTCGTCCTCTCTGGGGTTGACAAAGAACAACATGTAGGTGATCCCGAGCAGCGGCAACAACACCAGCGTAGCCTTCACTGCCTTCCTACCGGGGGGGGAGACACCAGAGGTTAGACCCCGGCCACTGTGAGACCCCATCCTTGAGAGACCCCACGCTAACAGACCCCGCCCCTGAGAGAAGCCGCCCCTGAGAGAGACCCCGCCTTGAGAGACCCCACCCCTGACAGGCGCCCCCCCGCCACCCGAGAGATAGTCCCCCTCCTGGACTCCGAGGGGGTAGACCGTGGTGAGCAAAGAGTCGCTACCTGTACTGGATGGTCTCGGACGTGGTCGACGCTCGCAGTTTTGTCATCAGGATCCTCACAATGTTGAAAAGAAAGATGAAATTAATCTGCAAAACAAAAACGTCACAAACATCTGCATTTACACCCCTCCTGTCACACAGGGTAACATCTCACAGCACCTCACAGTGGCCGGGCAAGCGAGGGGAGGGAAGGGAACGTTTTGAGGCAGGATTTAAATGGCGGGGGGGGGGGGGGGGGGGAATGACGGAGGGGTAGAGTGAATGCCAAAGGTTGAGTTACCAGTTAAGCCAGTAACTCAACAGCTCTTACCAGTAACACCAGGATGACCGGCCCCTGGTAAATGTAGTCAATGTATTTTCCCGGACTTTTCCCGAACCAGCAGCTAAGGTGAAAAACAAATCAGCCGGTGATCAGCTAAACCGCCTCTCTGTGCTCCTCACCCCAAACAGCAACACATTCAACTTCCCCACTATAGCTCTCACCCCATTCCCTGCTCTCTCTCTCTCTCTCTCTCCCCCCATCGTGTCTCTGCTGGGACTCGCTCCCCCCCAATGGACCTCTCTAAAACTGAGGTGCGAAGAGCGGACAATATCCAGGACCAAAATGTTTCCATCGAAGCCACACCATCGAGGCAAATACTTACTGCTCGTTTTCGTAGTAGAGTTTCCCAATGGACCAGGCTATGATGATGGGCAGTGGGGTACCTGGTGACACACAGAACCCACAGCAATGTCAATCAATGATCATTCACTGTGATTAGCATTCAGACCTCGATATTGTACTTCCATTGGTTCCACGTTTCTTTACTAATTGTTGAGGACTCGGGGCGGGGGGGTGGGGGGGGTGAGGGGGTTAAAATTCCTCATGGTCTGGGTCTTCAGATCATTGTCTTGAAGAGAAAGTTCCCAAGGAATTTGGGAAAATGGCCTTAAATCCAATTGTCATTTGGGGGACATTTTTCTCCGGGTCCAAATATAACCGAAACGGCTTCAAGCTCTCCGAGACGCCATCCCACGTGAAGGGCGTTAGGTATAAATGCAAGCTGTTGTAATTGTGGCTCTCAATGAAGACTGAGCTGGAGAATTTTCCACCAATTCTGTAAAATGGCCTCAGAGGCTAGGATTGGGTGAGGGTTTGGTACCAAAGAGTGTCAAGGCTCAGACAGAAAGGAATTTTGGGGCCTCCGAAAGTTGAGTCTGATCACAGGAGAAGTTAGAGAACAGGAAAGGGACTCACACCAGCCGATGCAGAGGAACATCCATTTGCGCAGCTTATCGGTGGAGTAGGTCAACACGATGGCGGTGTGAAGGTAGCAGCCTTCCCCGAACATCCAGAAGAAGTTGGTGACACAGAAGTAATTATACAGAGCAGTGACCAGGCGGCACCACACCTACAGGACAAGAAACAGGGCAGAACGTGAGGAACCAGGTCACTAACGCCTCCCAATCCCAGCCCCAACCCAGGCCCCAACACAGCCTCAACCCAGACCTCAACAAGCCCCAACCCAGCCTCAGCCCAGCCTCAACCCAGGCCCAAACACAGCCTCAACCCAGGTCTCAACCCAGGCCTCAACAGGCCCCAAACCAGGCCTCAACCCAGCTCGAACCCAGCCTCAACCCAGGCCCCCTTCACCCCCTTCCCCCGGGCACATGTGACTGAAAGCCTCTGATCTCTCACTGGAGATGACACACAGACACGGACCTCGTTGCTGGAGTGGATCTTGGGGTCGATGGTGTGCAGCACGAACCAGGTGGCGTTGCGCAGGATGAAGGTAGAGATCAGATTCCAGTGGATTATGTTCCGCAAACATCGGATGCTCCTGCGGGAAGAGAGAGGAGGGGGGAGAGATGCACTTTTATACACAACTTTAAACCCGGGGAAACCTCAGAGGGGATCACTGTCAAGTCTAGCGTAGTGTGTATCTGTAGGTAAACGCCACTGTCCTAACCTCTATCATACGATAAAAATAATACTAATACTACTACTACTAATAATAATACACCACATGAACCACTACACTATGGGGCCCAAGGGATCCGAATAAACATACAAAGCAACGAACGAGGGGCTGACCTCAGACGCATGAAAAGCACGAAGGCGATGATGAGAGCGGCCAGCGAGATACATTGGCCGAGGTAATTAATGATCACCACGATCTTGTAGTGGATCTGGTGTTTCCTCTGCCAGGACAAAGGAGGGAGATTAACAATAATAATAATAATAATGCTATAAATAATAATAATATATAAACCCATCCTCTCCGCACCTGCTCCCGCGCCTTTACACTGGGTCACCAAGATGTCTCTGCCTCGTAGCCAACAAGACTGTAAAGGTTTCCAAATTGAATTTTTTTCAAACTTCCGCAGCGTCCCCCACTTCTCCAAATCACCCCCCACCCCACACCTTCCCCCTCTGCAGTCCCTCCAACTCCCCGCTTCCCCCTTCCCCCCCGCCCCCCCGCCACCAGACCGCCCACATCCACTCAGATCCCCAGCCCTTAACGACCTCGCACCCCCATCCCCCACCACCACCAAACCCAATCCGAGAAGAGTGAAGACAAGAGGGAGGAGACAGACACACCTTGACTTGCAGGATGGCCTGGCATTGGGTGTAGTTGATCTTCACAGCCCACGTTCCATTCCCGAAGCACCTTCTATATACACTGTCTGTGAGGGGGAGTGGGGGAGAGACATTGAACAGGAGCTGAGTTTCTCCAGCATTGAGACATGGGGAAAGCTCCTTAGTTATCAGGAAATAGACGCCCCCACCCCCACCCCCGCCCCCCCAAACACCTAAGAGACCCCAAATTCTGCCTTGTTTCAGTCCGAGGCACCAATATCTTGTCTTGAAGACATGGCAACAGGACAACACGACAACACGGGAGAGTTTCCATGCGTAGGTGTCTTTCGGATGCTCTTGAGCACAGTGATGGGCTCACCCTGATCTGAAAGACGCCGCAGAATTAGGAGGAATTCTTACATTGGAGGGCAGTTTCCCTGCGGTTCCTGAAAAAAGAAAACCGTCTTCCAAGTAACGACGCCAATTAAGAGTTTCCCGAAATGGTGTGAAGTCTTCAATTTTAAGAGAGAGAGAGAGAAAGAAAAAGGTCTTAAGGTTGAGATGGGGTGGAATTTCAGGCCTCGAGGCCTCACCGCAGGTCTGACAAGTCAGAAGCACAATCACCGGCGGGTTTTGCTGATGAAGTTCAGAGGATTTAATGCAGCATCAACAACCCCGAGCTTATGAATATTTAACAAACGGCTCCGAAAATAAACGTGGGCCAGTGATCGATTTGCTTGTGGCAGAGAGAGGGAGAGAGAGCGAGACAGAAGGCACCTCATTGCTCTCAGAGGGAGTCACCGTCAGCTTCTCTTTAAACCTCGGCCTCTCACTCTCCCCGGTGAAGCCTATTCCCCGCTCCCTTGTGTCTGACTGAGGGAGAGATGACATGATCATTACTAACATTCCTGTCTCTTACTTATAACAATAATAATCCTTGCATTTCATGTAGCGCCTTCTCATGTCTTTGAAGCGCTTCACAGGATACGCTGCAAAGTGAATTGACTGTCTATCTTGTGGGCGAAACGCGGCAGCCGATTGCGCACGGCAGCGTCCACCACCAACAGCCGCGGATGTTTTTTTAAGGTGTTATTATCCCCGGAAAAGCCATCCGCCAATCGACTGACGCCCGGGTTCCTGCTTGCTGCTCGGTGTTTAACAGAGGCGCTTAAAGTAAGGAAACTCGCCCCGCGTTTCGCCCCGGCCGGGAATCGAACCCGGATTCCCCTCTCGCTTCGTACTTACACTCAGTGGACAAGGTAGAGGCCATTCCTATCTGTAGGGTGAGACTGCTCTGGGACAGGCGAACAGAATGACCCCTGATTCAATCTAATTTGCACACAAATGAGCTGGTGGCGTTTGCTGTAACGCCCCCACTTCACACCAAGCCTCAGCCTGCGAGGCTGTGACATGTGAAATGATATAAATGTGTATCATGCTATAAAAAGCAATTTGCATAATTAGCTTCGGATTTCTATTTGGCCGTGATTTGACGTGATATCTCCCGAATATCTCAGAGCCTGTGAACTCGCCCCCCCCCCCCCCCCCACCCCTCGCCGAGCTGTCAATCCGCTAAATGGAACTGTTTAAGTCTTATGCTAATCGCCCCCCAATCTGCATAAAACCATTAAAACGTCAGAAAAACGGATGCGGGAATAAAGATTTTTTTTTCGCGAGCGAGCCGCTTCACAGGGTACACCGTAAGGTGTAGTGACTGTACATCTTGTGGCCGAAACGCGGCAGCCAATTGCGCACAGCAGCGTCCCCCACAAACAGCCGCGGACCGAGTGACCAAATTATTATTATTTTTTGAAGGGATTATCGCACCCGGAAAGCGATCCGCCCATCGACTAAACCGGGTTCCTACTTGCTGCCGGGTAAAGAGAGGCGTGCGTGTGGAGTTAGGAAAGTTTCGCCCTGAGCCGGGAATCGAACCCAGGTCCTCTCGCTTGCGAGGCGAGAGCTCTGACCAAACTCCGGCGCTGAGAGGAGGAGGAAAAATTCCTTGAACTGATTAAACCGGTCTACCATTGTCACAGAGTAATGCAAAGCTCCGTTAATGGGGGCCTCGGCGGGTTTGTTCGGCGCAGGGATCGCTTCACAGCAGTGAAGAGAGGAATGTGACCATTACTGAGAGCTCCGGGGGGGCTCATATCGAGACGCTTCCCTCAGCCACGGCTTACTGCACACGGCAAGGTGAAGCGAGATCAAACGGCACATTTCACACCCACATCCAACCCCCCGTTATAATGGCCTGGTTATTATCAGACCTGCCCGGTTTAACAAGGGGACTAGCAGAGTGTGCCACAGACAGCCCTGAGAGGTTTTATCTGGGGTGGGGGGGGGGTGGGGGGCTGGAAATTATCAGCAAGGACACCGGGAGAGAGGAACTCCCCTCTCTTTTCCCGCAGCGCTGCAGAGATTTTTAACCAGCGCCGAGGGACGTCCCCCTGACGCGAAAGACGCTGTAGACACGTTATCTTGCATTGCTTTGTATTGTAATGTCCACCTGAACAGAGCACAGTTGGAGCCTCGGATTAATGTTCAATCCGAAGGTCCAGACCACTCTCTGTCGCCCTCCCTGTCGCCCTCCCTGTCGCCCTCCCTGTCGCCCTCCCTGTCGCCCTCCCTGTCGCCCTCCCTGTCGCCTTCTCCCTCTCCGTCGCCCTCTCCGTCGCCTTCTCCCTCTCCGTCGCCGTCACACTCTTTCCCTCTCCCTCGCCGTCACTCTCTCTGTCACTCTGTCCGTCACTCTCTCCCACTCCCCCACCCTCTCCCTCACCCTCCCCGTCGCTCTTCCCGTCACCCTCTCTGTCCCGGTCCCAGTTCCTCTCTCTCTCTCTCTCTCTCTGTCTGTCTGTATTGGGTGATTTACAACGCCTTGTGTGTTATGTGCAGCTAATGACAAGCCACGTCAATTGTAAACAGCGAAACAAAATGCTGCGATTTGCTCCTCAATGATAATTTAAACGAGATCTCCTGGCAGGAATTGCATTACAGCGATTTAGAAATGCCGTCAAATTAACTTGACTCAGTGATCAGAGCAGAACCTCAGCCCCGACACTGAGCTTAGCGCACAATGAATGAAACAGGGAAATAAAACCTCGGCTCTATCTCATTTGCTCTCTCTGCCTCTGTATCCATCTCGAGCTTTCTCCTTTTGTGTCTACCCATCTCTCTCTCTCTCTCTCTCTCCCTTTATGCCCATTTCTCTCTCTTTCTCCTTCACTTATCAGCTTCTATTTTCTCCATCTCTCTTTCTCTATCCCTCTATGTGAGACTCAGAAACTCTGAACCAGAGTCATACAGGACCTTCACAGACAGACATTATTGGTGCATATAATCTTGGGGCAGGTGTGAGCTTTCACCCCGACACGGCCAGGGTGCAAGTGATGTCTTCCGACCTCCCCGCCCGCCCACGCCCCCCTCCCCCAGTGCCCCCCAACACACAGTGAGGACACCTACTTGTGGTGTTGTATTGGATCCCATTGAAGTATTCTGGACACTGTCTGGCCACCAGCTGCCCCACTGGGCTCCTCGGCCAACACGTCCCGATCAGGTCGGTCGAGGCATTGCAGTAACGCCCTGCGGAGCCACGACAAACAGTCCAAATAGCCACAATCATCATAATAACAATAATAATGCTGGCCTTTGACCCGGCGCCTTATCGCGTCTTCAAGACGTCTCAAAGCGCTTCACGGGATACACTGTAAAGTGAATTCGACTGTACGTTTTGCGGGCGAAACGCGGCAGCCAATTGCGCACAGCAGCGTCCCCACAAACAGCCGTGGGTTGAGTGAACAGATTATTTATTTTTTTGGAGGGATTATTACCCCCGGAAAGTGATCCGCCAATCGACCAACGACTGCGTTCCTTCTCATTGCTAGATAAATGTGTGCGGAGTAAGGAAAATTGCCTCGGGTTTCTCCCTGCCCGGGAGCTGAACTCGGGTCCTCTCGATGCGCGTGCTAACCACTAAGCTAGGAGCCGCCACAATCTCCAGGAAACACAAGGAAGGTGGACCCCGCCCTCCAAAATCCCTCTTTTAAATGACCTTTCAGCCTAAATCCCTGACGCACTTCACACTGAGTCGCAAAGTAAGTCCAGAAAGCCTCCATGTAGTTAGGGGGCTCAGGGCCAATCGAGTTCCAATTGTCTATTGATTCCCTGTGACATTCAGACTAAATGCCGGTGTCTCACACCTTCTACGTTTAACCTCAGCCTCGTAACACTCAGCATCACCATCACTAACAGTAAATCAATGATCTTATCATCTGATACAGCGGCTCTCACTCCTGGGGGAGGTTGTGGGGGGGGGGACGAGAGGAGAGGAACGTCTCAAAGCGATCGAAGTGCTGAGCGGGATGCACTGTTTGATGGCCTCCGAAGCGCACAGTCAGGGGAATCCTCCCACTCAGCTCCTGAGAAGCCAAAGCCCCCAGGGGGAGGTTGGTCCTCGTTGGACGAGCAGCGCGAAAGCGGTTTTGGCCACCAGCTGCCCCACTGGGCTCCTCGGCCAACGTGTCCCGATCAGGTCGGTCGAGGCATTGCAGTAACGCCCTGCGGATTTGAAGATGAGCGATTTTGTGGGAAACCTGGTTCGCAATCAGAAAAGGTGTCTTTCTCTGCAGGAACTGGTTGATCTAACCCCGCGCTCCCCACCTGTTTCCCACCTGTTCTCCACCCTTTCCCCCACCCACCCACCCACCCCGCTGCTCACCTGTGATATTGCTGGCGGAGGACAGGGCTTCACAGTATTGCTCGAGGACACTGCAGGACAGGGGTAGAGCGCACTGTATTAGCACCTGTTCCCAGGGAAACAGAAAACACTTGTTAACGTCTGGAGCCGGAGACAAAACCACACCTGCACATCTGGAGGGGAACACAACACAGCACAGCACAACACAACACAGCACAACACAGCACAGCACAGCACAACACAGCACAACACAACATAACACAGCACAGCACAGCACAACACAACACAACACAGCACAACACAGCACAGCACAGCACAGCACAACACAACACAACATAACATAACATAACACAGCACAGCACAACACAACACAGCACAACACAGCACAACATAACACAGCATAACACAACACAGCACAACACAGCACAACACAACACAACACAGCACAACACAACACAGCACAACACAGCACAACACAACACAGCACAACACAGCACAACACAGCACAGCACAACACAACACAGCACAGCACAACACAACACAGCACAACACAGCACAACACAACACAGCATAACACAACACAGCACAACAAAGCACAACATAACACAGCACAGCACAACACAGCACAACACAACATAACACAGCATAACACAACACAGCACAACACAGCACAGTGCAAATTGAGTCACTGTGGAAGAAATTCTCCCCACACACAGTTTCACCACATCAGCTTTCAAATAACAACCCTCTGAGCTGGCGACACAACGTAAGCTGACATTTTACATGACGTCGCGAGGGGTATTTTTAGCCCGAGCCGTGTTCAGCTTAGTTTTTGATCTCCGATTTATTGGGAACGTTATTAGTTATTAGTCCGCATGCTGTGCTGTGCACATGTTTGTTCCATGTGATTGCATTAAGCCACGAGTGGGGCTAGTTGAGAAAGAGAGAGAGAGATTGACAGAGAGAGAGAGGGTGGGGGACAGTCATTAATAATAATAATAACCCTTGCATTTGTTATATAACTTTATCACGTCTTCGGGAAGTCTCAAAGCGCTTCACAGAATACATTGGAACGTGTAGTGACTGTATTCGTTGTGGGCGAAAGGCGGCAGCCAATTGCGCACAGAGTGGTGTTCGCAACAAACAGTCGCGGATTGAGTGACCCCATTATTTATTTTTTTGAAGGGATTATTATCCCCGGAAAGTGATCCGCCAATCGACTAACAACCGGGTTCCAACTTACTGCCGGGTAAGGAGTGGCGTGACCTAACATTTCCTCGCTCAGCCTAACGTTTCGCCCCACCCAGGTCCTCTCGCTTGCGAGGCGAGCGCTCTAAGCTACGGGACTCCAGGTATACAGTACACACAGCACTCTTTGCTGCCTAATAAACGGGAGCTGCTGATAGCCAGTGCGTGAAACCCCGATACAAGGCGGCAGGCGTGAACTCTGTGCTGAGTGGTCCATGTCATTTATTAAATCAGGGACAGAATTCCCGGTCCGCCAGCGCTCGGATGGTCTGTCAGTGCGTTCGCACGGGCAGAGGCTGGGAGGAAAGAGCTGAGGAAGAAGCCAGGGTGTCCAGCCGATACCGCGAAGCACAGTGAGACGTACTCCCAGGGTGGAAGGCGCTGTGCAAATGTAAACTTAAGAGTGCGTTATTGTGGTATTGTATCTGCAGTCGGGCTGTGGGCGGTGGAGTCTGGGTGTAGGTGTGTGTCACGGACTCCTATGTGGGTGTGTTTCTTCCCGCAGTTTCTCAGGAAAGAGTCGAAACTCGGGCTGAATGGGAGAGTTTTGCACAATTCTGCACTGTGTTAAATTTCGAGACCAAACCGTCCTACTGCCTAGGACAGGGTGGAATTTCAGAGCCTCTCCCTTGTGCATTTAGCGTCCTTCAAACCAATGTGTCTCAGCGTCCATAAAATAATAATAAAAATAATAATGCGGTCCCTCAATCCACGGCTGTTTGTGGGACACTGCTGTGTGCCATCGGCTGCCGCATTAAGGTGCTGTATAAAATGCAAGGATTATTATTACTATCATTATTGTTGTTGTGAAAGTTTTTTTGATTATCCTTAAGAAATAATGTATAATATTCTCCATGAAAACAATCATATTATTATTATTATTATTAAGTGTGGATTATTATTTTGCTTGATTTGTTTGTCTCGTTCAGCGCCTTTTATAGTATTTATAAAAGTCTCAATACAAAAATAAAAGTGTTTATTGCTGCTCGTATCGTTACAGGGCTCCTGCGGCGTCAAAGCGCCTTCGCTTGCGGTGGACACTTTTGAAGTGTAGTGACTGTGGGTTTTTTTGTACGCAAAAGCGTAAGCTCCAGTCATCACGTCTCTTGTTCTCTTACGACTCGCTTCCCGAAGCAGCTCCCCGCGCCACTCACTTCCCCTGTCTCCCCACCCTGTTCCCCCCCCCCGCCCCGTTCCCCTCCCAACCCACCCCCCCAAACCCCCTGCTCCCTGGGCATTACAGGTTGCTAGTTAATGAAAGGAGACATTTTTCCCTGCCATGGCTCTGTGTAAACACAGGCTGTTACAGTGAAGAACAGCGGGAGTTTAATTAACATCTGGTAAAATAACACACCATTCCCCCTCCCCTCCCCCCCCCCCCCCCACCGTCGGGGATAATTTAATCCTCTCCCATAACTGTGCTCATTAACACCTTCCGGATAATTTCACTCGATCGCGTCATTAAACAAAAAGCTGATTTTCAAAGCGACAAATACACACAGAAATAATCATATTAAATTGATGGGGTTTATGAAGCGGCAGCAGTTTCCTGGAAGTGTTCATTACGGACACAGGAACGTTTCACCTGTAAAGCGTCTGGAGTTCAGTTCAGCTGCTGTCTGGGATTAGTCACTTCTGAGGAACAAATTTGTGACGTTCCTTAACCCAACCCTCATCTTACCCCACAAACTATGATTTTGATAATAAATAAATCACCTATGAGAGAAAAAAAAATAATAATTTGGACACTGAATCCACAACTATTTGTCTCCCACTGTTTTGCACAATTCGCTGCCGCATTTCGGCCACAAAATATACAGTCACTAAACTTTACTGTACCAGTATACTCTGTGAAGCGCTTTGAGACGTCTTGAAGACGTGATAAGGCGCTACACCCCACGCAAGGGTTATTATTATTATCATTACGAAAATGGAATGAAATTCGCCATTTAAATGACCCGCGGATTAGCGCCAGTGTTAATTATTACCGCTAACCTCAGAAGGTGAATGAAACCTCGCCTTAACTTGGTGCCGGCACTAAATAAGGTGAGGAAGGCGTTAAGGAATACCGCAAATTCTGCTCCCGTATTTCCTTTTCAACCGAGTTAAGTTCGTATTCTCTGCAATACCCAGTGTGGTTGGTGTTTCTTCCTGCGTGTGTGCGTGCGCATGTGTTCCTAGAGCGATCTTTCCCAAGAGTAAAATGTCACCTTTGTTCTGAAGCGGAACAGAATACATTCATATTTCTATAAAAATCACTGGCGGAGGGTGGGGGTGGGGAGGGGGGAGGCAATGGAAGACTGCTAAATTAGATTCACATTCAGCAGATAAGGTGAATAGAAAGCGAGAGCATGTGAGAGAGCGAGAGAGGAAGAGGGAGTGATGACAGAGAACAGCAACAGCAATAAATTGCATTTATATAGAATAGATCAGAAAGAGAGCCATTAGATAAATAGAGACCGGGGCGGGTGGGGTGGGGGGGGGGGGGGGGGGGAGAAGAGCAAAGAGACAACATTTGGGGGTGGGGGGGGGAATAAGGAGAGTGGATGGATGTGAACAGTTCAAGCGGTCAGAGTGAAGTGATAGCACAGTACAATTTATATTTATATGGCGCCTTCCACGCCGGGAGCGAGAGAGAAACATGGACTGCGATAACACATCCTTGCATGTTGACGCAGAGCCTTAGCAGGTCGCGGAGACGTCCCAAAGCGCTTCACAGCAGATACGACAAAGTGCGGTGGCTGTGTATTTCGCGGGCGGAGCAGACGCCTCGAAGAGGAGGAGAGACAGAGAGAGGGGGGAGAGAGAGGAGAGAGAGCGAGAGAGAGAGAGAGAGAGACAGAGAGGGGTGATGGTTTCCTGCAGCGAATGGAGCCTGAGTGTGTTTGAGCCTCTGCTGCTGCAGTCGGTGTTTTACGCAATCGGCCGCCGCGTTTCGCCCACAAATACACAGCCAGTTGTTTTTACGGTGGATCCCGGGAAGCGCTTTGAGACGTCTCGAAGACGGGGCGAGACGGTTGTAAGAAATGCAAGGATTGTCCTATCATTACTACCTTCAGCACCACAAGGGCAGGCCAGCTCCTTAACCCAACCCAGCCCTGAACACTGCCTGTGGGCAACATTCACCAACCAACCAACCAACTGAACAACCAACTGAACAACCAACCGACCAACCAACTGACCAACCAACCGACCAACCAACCGACCGACCAACCGACCGACCAACTAACCAACCGACCAACCAACCGATCAACTAACCAACCGACCAACCAACTGAACAACCAACTGACCAACCAACCGACCAACTGAACAACCAACTAACCAACCAACTGACTGACCAACTGACCAACCAACTAACCAACCAACTGACTGACCAACTAACCAACCAACTGACCAACCGACTGACCAACCAACTGATCAACCAACTAACTGACCAACTGACCAACCGACTGACCAACCAACTGACCAACCAACTAACTGACCAACTGACCAACCAACCGACCAACCAACTGACCGACCAACTGACTGACCAACTGACCGCAGTTCCCTGTGACTGGGGCAGGAGCCGGGTCCGGTTATGGGGTTGCAGGAGCCGGGTCCGGTTATGGGGTTGCAGGAGCCGGGTCCGGTTATGGGGTTGCAGGGGTCTGTGTCTGTTCTGACCTCAACCCAAACCAACACACCTCCAGCTACTGATACAAAAACATAGGCAATAAAAACATCCCACGTCCTGTTCCCAACACTGCTCAAAATCTGCATCTCTCTGTCTGTCTCTCTGTCTCTGATCCAGACTGCAGTTTGCTTTCCCTCCATTAAACACTTTTTTTTGGGGGGTGTGGGGGGTGGTGGGGTGGTGGTGGGGTGGGGGTGGGGGGGGTGGGGGGGTGGGGGTGGTGTGTGTGGGGGGGGGTGGTGTTGGGGGGTGGGGGTGTGGGTGGTGGGGGGGGGGGGGTGGGGGGGGGGGGGGGTGGTGTGTGGAGGGGGGTGGTGGGGTGGTGTGTGGGGGGAACAAAATAAAACGCATTGCCTTAAACTGGTTGATTTAGCGCAATAACCTAATCCCTTCACACAGACACACCCCTCCCTCACAGTGTCTCCTTCACACACACACACACACAGGGACACACACACACAGAGAGACACACACACAGACAGATACACACACAGACACACACAGACAGATACACACACACAGACAGAGAGACAGATACACACACAGACAGACACACACACACACAGACAGATACACACAAAGACACAGACACACACAGACAGATACACACACACAGAGACAGACACACACATAGAGACAGACACACAAACATCCCCCCCCACCCCTCTCCCTCTCTCTGTCCCACACTTAGCCCACACTCTGCTCCTGTGTGTGACCAGAGCAGTGTGTGAGAGAGTGAGAGACCAGTCCAGTAGCCCATAGTGGGGGCTATATTCTCTGCTGTTGGACTTTGGTGTAAATCATTGACCACTTTATCACTCTCTCACCTTCTGTCTCTCACATCTTCCATCACTCTCTGTCTCTCTCTCTCACTCCCTCTCTCACTCTCTGTGTCTCTCACTCCCTCTGTCACTCTCTGTCTCTCTCACTCCCTCTCTGCCTCTCTCACTCTCTGTCTCTCTCACTCCCTCTGTCACCTTCTGTCTGTCACCCTCTGACTCTCACACCCTCTGTCTCCCACTCTCCCTCACTTCTCTGTCTCCCTCTCTCCCTCTCTGTCTCTCTCACTCCCTCTCTCACCTTCTGTCTCTCACCTTCTGTCTCTCACCTTCTGTCTCTCACCTTCTGTCTCCCACCCTCCCTCACTTCTCTGTCTCTCTCCCTCTTCCTCTCTCTTTCCCACTCCCTCTCTCACCTTCTGTCTCCCACCCTCCCTCACTTCTCTGTCTCTCTCCCTCTTCCTCTCTCTTTCCCACTCCCTCTCTCACCTTCTGTCTCTCCCTCCCTCCCCCCCTCTGCCCCCACCCCATCCCACACCTCTGAGACGCACAGAGTACCAGTACCTGAGCCAGGATGAGTGTCCAAGAGCAGCTCCACATGGTGACTGGGTGCCAGAGGCTTGTGTCCCACCCTCTCTCCTCTCCTCTCCTCTCCTGTCCTGTGTGTGTGTGTGTTCTGCTCAGTCCATGTTGGGTCCAGAGGGAAAACAGGAGGAAAAAAAAAAGGAGCCTGGAATCCAACCAACAAAAGCCAAGCAAAAATCTCCAGGCAATGAAAGAGAAAGACACTGTATGCAAAACCTCTCCTCCCCCTAAAAAAATATCACCTGCTAACACCAGCCACCGTTTTGCTGGAGTGCTGACACTGACTGGTGCATTTGCTCAGACTGTATTTCTGTTAAATATATCCAGGGTTTGGTAGCAATGTCTAGAGATGACACATACAATCTCTATACTCTCTCTCTGTGTCTCTCTCTGTTAATTTCTCCAGTATTTATATCAATAGCTAGACATACCTTCTCACTCTCTGTCTGTCTGTCTGTCACTGAGAGTCTCTGAGCCAGATAGGAGATGTCCCTCTCTCTCTTTCTTTCTCTCTCTGTTAATTTATCTAATGTTTCATATCAATACCCAGAGATACATATTTCTCTCCCCCTCTCCTTCCCCTCTCTCTGTCACTGACTGAGTGGCTCTGAGCAGTAAGTTGTTGCCTTGTGAAGTGTTGGCTGTCATCAGCACCTCCTCTAGTCAAGGGCAACTTGTCACCATGACCACAGACTCTTCCCACCTCTCTTTCTCTTCCCCTCCCACCCCACCTCTCACACTCTCCCCTTCCCCACCCCTTTCTCTCCCACCCCCCACCCCCCACTTCTCTTCCTCCCTCCTCTCTTCCTCCCCATCTCCCCCCCCCCTCCCATCCCCTTCTCTCTCCCTCTCCCTCCCTCTCACACTCAAATGGGAATTCTACTTGTAAAAGGATGAGGGATTGGGATCAGTGGAGGTTGGAATACGCAATGCAGCCTCCAGTGGTGAGACTGAAGCAGTTGCTAAACAGGGAATGTGGAATTCTGTCTCAGTCCCTCCTGTCTCCCTCCCTAAAATACATGTAGGATTTTTAAGGAGAAAAGCGACAGATTTGAACACCACCAGGATGAGTTAGTTTAAGCCAGGCGACAGGCAAGATGCGAGGGGTTATGAGTGTGTCATGTCGCCAATAGATTGTCAACAGACAAAAAAAATCTAAGGAAAGAAAATACATAATTTTTTAAATAGAATTATTCTTGTAACTTCACGCCACCTCGCATCGCTTGAGCCAAACTTTCAACTGGTGATGAGATTCAGTGAGAGCTCAGAAGCCACTCAGTCTCTCTCTCTCTGATTTAATGAGCCCCGGCTCTGAACTCAGTGATAAAAGCAGTAACTTTTATGGAGATCAACAGCCCAAATGCGTCAGCCTTCCTCTGGAGGAGAAACCTACCTGTTTTTGTTCAACCAAACAGCCAGCCAAGCCGGGCAAGGTGCTCGGGCTAAACGCAGACCAGATTGTAAACACAGACTCCTCTCTCTGTCTGCGGTTCTCCACTTGCATCAGAATTGTTCTGCATCCAAAAATAGGGCAACGCGTTTCATATTTCTCAATGTCCCAGCCGTTTAACAGATGTTTATGTACGTCCTGCACTGAAAAATGTGGTCACTCAACCCACTGCTGTGCGTAATTGGCTGCCGTGTTTCGCCTACAAAATATATACAGTCAATTCACTTTACAGAATATCCTGTGAAGCGCTTTGAGGCGTCTCAGCAACATGATAATTTGTCAAATCAAATTGCAACGATGATTGTTATTGTTACTTCCCAGGAAACCTGTCAAGTGTAGTGGCTGTGTGTTGCGTAGGAAAACACTCGCAGCCAATTTGCGCACAGCAAAGGTCCCACAAGCCTCCATGCGGTGAACAACCAATTCCGCTGAAGGAGAAACCCTTCTCTTTTCCTAATAATATCTTTGACGTCTGCCTGAACAGGCGTTTAACTATCATCTGAAGGAAGGCACCTCGAACAGCATGGCTCTCCCTCTCCCTGCCTCGCTCCCTTCCTGCCTCACTCCCCCCAGTTCTCCACTGGAGCATCAGCCTAGACACTGAGTTCAAAGTGGTTGAGGTAGGGTTGGAACCAGAACCCAGTGGGGCAGAGGTGAGAGTTACCAGCGGTGTTTATGAGGGAGGTAGGTTGTCCTTGCTTCGGTGGTGTTGGGTGGGGGAGGTATTGGGGAGGAGAGAGGGGGATAACAGCTGCAGACAAGGTTGCAGGGAGCTGTAGCACACTGGGACGGACCTATATTTAGTGCTTGTCTGCTATTATTTCTCTCAGTGCAGTCAGCACAATTATATCTGTTTAGTTGCTATAAACAACCCCTGAAAACAGATGCAGCTCAGTGTAATGGCTTATTGTCGCCGTCAATTCACAGTAACGTGGCACTCAGCCCCTGCCCGGCGATGACTCTCCCAGCTAGCGGATATGCTTCTCAATTCCCCTCTCCCCCCCACCCCCAAAAAACTTGTTTCAGGGGAAATGTTGTTACTGTAATAATCCCATTGGGAGTACATCCCAAAGTGCTGGACAGTCAAGGATTTGCATCCGAGATGGGAGTCGGGATCAGGAGTGGTGGGGGGCAGAGAGGGTGGGGTAGGAGGGTGACCGAAGGTACGGTCGAAGAGGAGGGTCTTGAGACCGACCAGCTACATTTCACCCATAAAATATACGGTCACTCCACTTTACAGTGTGTCCCGTGAAGCGCTTTGAGGCGTCTCGAAGACGTGATAAGGCGCTGTGTCAAATGCAAGGACTATTATTATTATTATTATGATTATTGTTGCTGAGGCAATGGTCTTGTGGTTGAGACCAGGCAGAATTCCAGGTGTCTGGCAGCTGGCTGTGTGTCCGTGTTGGCAGGTTACCGTACAGTGATCTCAATCATCTGCACGTCTGCGTTCTGCACAGCCACCGGTACACCTGAGACACTGAGCTGCCACAGAAGCCGAGTCTCACTCCGCTTTTGACTCCTTGAATGAAACATTATCATCTCCTAAATTGGATGTACCAGTGTGAAAAGGCTTCTGAATTTCCCAAGTTTAGCTCTGACAGCGCCTGAGGGAGACGGGCGCTGTCACTGATTGCTGGATGAAAGATTCTGTTCTCAGCCCCACCATCAATCTGTTTGGCGAAGCCGCTAACACTCCAACCTCATTACTACAACCTGATGTGCAATCCCTCTTATCAGGGAGTCATATTATGGAGCTTTGTATGTTGCTGCAATCCTTCCATTTGATACAACGCCTTATCATTTGGAGGCGTCTCAGAGCGCGTCACGGAATATACCGTAAAGTGAATTTGGAACGCGGCAGCCAATTGCGCACAGCAGCGTCCCCACAAACAGTCGTGGATTGAGCGACCGCGTTTGTTTTTGGAGGGATTATTGCCCCCGGGAAACGTGATCCATCCGCCAATCGACTAACATTGGGAGCTCGTGGAGCCTGGCGAGGACCGGCTGCCAAGTGCATGTGTACAAGCCCTCTCCGCAAGTCAGGGCAACTCCTGTGTATTTAGTTTCCCCGTCAGACTCTTTGTTGCCTGTTCCAGGCGGAGAGGATATTTTCCGAGGTGCGGCGTATCGAGAGCTACCGTGTGGAGGGGATGGAGATCTATTCCACCACCCTGTGGCACCTGCAGAAGGATGTCACGCTCTCCGTCCTCTCCAAGGACTTGACTGAGATGGACAAGAATACACCAGAGGTGAGTCGTGGGGTCTTTCTTTTCCCAACCCCACCCCCCCCACACACACATTGTCAGGAAACCCATCGAGCCCCGTTGGTTGGTGCTGACAGCTTGGCTCTCTCACAGGCCTGGTGCGCCGCGGGGAACTGCTTCAGTTTACAGCGAGAGCACGACATCGCCATCAAGTTCTTCCAGAGGGCTATCCAGGTGGATCCCAACTTTGCCTACGCCTACACTCTCCTCGGGCACGAGTTTGTGCTGACAGAGGAGCTGGACAAAGCCTTGGCCTGTTTCCGAAACGCCATCCGTGTGAACTCCCAGCACTATAACGCCTGGTAAGCACAGTCTGCACAGTCTACATGTGCAGGTCAGGGTTTGGTGAGAACCCACAGCTCGGCATTCACTGTGTCTTTCACCCCTTTGACAGATACCTTGGGTTGGGGGGCGGGTTTAACAGGACAGGGGCTGGGGGTTCAGCACCACTGGAGGTGTCCATGCAGCTCTGCACTCGTTTGGAGGGGAAGGAATTACAATCCTAAGGGTGGGAAGGTGGAGGATGTCTATTCGTAGCGGGATCACAGGAAAGGAGGAGGCCATTCAGCCCCTCGAGTCTGTTCCGCCATTCCATAAGATCACGACTGATCAGTGCCTCAACTCCAATTACCTGCCCTTACCCCATAATCGCTTGATACCCCGACCTAAAGTGTACTTATCGAGGGTTTGTGTGTTACACGAGGGTTTGTGCGTCTGCGGTTTGGAGAACCAGGGACTGCGATGCTCTGCCGTATCTCGAAATGCAAAGATTCTGGGTTACTTTACCTGAACCCTGGAGGGTCGGCAGGGAGAGCGAGAGAGCTGCCGGAGAGCGCCGTGAGTGACGTACCTCTGTCCTTCAGGTACGGTCTGGGGATGATCTACTACAAGCAAGAGAAGTTCAACCTGGCAGAAATCCACTTCAGGAAAGCGCTGAACATCAACCCCCAGAGTTCTGTGCTGCTGTGTCACATCGGAGTGGTGAGTGAGCAGCGACGGAGCTGGTCGAGGATCATACGTTCGCTTGATCGCGGCTTTCGAGTCCGCCGCAAAGCGCTTCGCGGGAGCCACTAAAGTGGATCGGCTGCGGTATCTGTGGGGGGGGATGGATAATCCACTGACTCAAACACAATCGTCAGGTCCGCAGACCAGGTGAGAGTTTGGGGCTGGGAGTTCGTGCGTTACTCGTGTGTCCTTGGGATGTCAGCGCCTTGGGGCGCCCTCCTGATGGGAAAGGCACTGTACAAATGTAACATTCACAGAGCACTGGGCATTGATTTGTTTTTTTTCCCTATAGAGCCATAGAAATTTACAGCACAGGAGGCCGTTTGGCCCGTCATGTCTGTGCCAGCTCTTTTAAAAGCAAACCTTTCAGTCCCACGTACCCAGCCTTTCCCCACACGCCTGTAGTTGACTCATTATTAAAGTAGTGTGCCAGGTCTAATACTAAAGGCATTTAACCCCTTCAAGAGTTAGGTAGCTTATAGATGTTGATCACTGTGTTGGGAACAGTCTCAGTCTTTAATATCTCTTTAACAGTCTTTAATAAAGTGTTTAAATATGTCAGTGTAATCTCGACTCCGACTGCTCCCGTCGCTGGAAGTGGTAAATCTCCCACACGGGGACTTCTGCACCTAATCTTTTCTCTGACCTTGTGTGTTCAGTGCGACTCAAGTCCTGTTTCCAACCAGCACGGCCCCAACCAATGCTCCGCCCAGGAGGAGCTCCAGACTGTTTACAAGTGCCAGCTCTACCACAAAGGTAACTCACCGCAATTGACTGCCACGTTTCGCCCACAAAATACATACCCTCAATTCACTTTACAGTATGTTCTGTGAAGCGCTTTGAGACGTATTAAATATATATGGTGCTGTGTCAAATGTAAGTATTATTATTCAGATTGGCCGTGGGGGTGATGATGCATCAGGCTCGACTGTGATGATTTTCAGCTCTTTGTTCCTGCCTCTCACTTGTCCTCTGCCATTTCCTCCGCCCTTTTTCCTCAACAAACAGGAGAACAGTAAAAAGCTGAAAATGAAGTTTCCGCCCAAAATTCCGAACCGGAAACCAAAAAACAAGACCAGCAAATCGGGAATCACCCAACCCAACCAGAACGACAGTCTGGAGATCAGCAAACTGGACTCTTCAGGCCTCTCGGAGGGCAAGGTGTCCTCAGTCACACCGCAAGTGCAGGCCTTCAACATACAGAAGGCAGCTGCGGGTGAGTGTTCACCTGTCAGGGATAGGGGGAGGCCATTCAGCCCCCTGTCTTACGAGATTGGTTTGGATGAATCGTGGGAATTTATAATACAGAAGAAGGCCCTACAGCCCATTTGATCTCATTCCTCCAGAACACCCACTCTGCCTTCATCCCATCACAGCATCGAGCTCAGCACCCTTCCCGGCAACAGGTTAATTAGCCTCCGGGTTAAGAAAGAGCGCTGGTAACTGTCGTAGGGACATAGCAACACGAGGAGGCCATTCAGCCCCTCGAGCCTGTTCCTCCATTCTGTAAGATCACGGACGATCTCCACCTCAACTCCAATTACCCGCCTTTGCCCCCCCTATCCCTTCATACCCTGACCTAACCACCATCTATCCACCTCAGTCTTGAAAATGTGAATGGATCCAACCACCACGACTGTGGGTTCAAACCCCACATCGGAGAGTTGAGTTCCCAGTTTAGCCTAATGTTTCAGTGCGGTGATGATACAATAGCATCTGGTGTTGACTGCTGGACACTGCCTGTCCCATGGCGACACTACCTGTCAGTGTTCGCTTAGTGCTACACAACAGCACTGTGGGGCGGGGGGGCAGTCTGTTCTGTGGGGTCCGTTCAACTCACACACCCTCCGTTTTACTGTGAAGCTCCTTGAGTCACTGACAGAAGATACTGAAGAAATAACTTATTTTTTCTTAACCATAAATCTTTGGGCTTGTGTGTTTTTTGTGTGTGTGTGTGTGTGTCTCTCTCTCTCTCTGCTGTCAGACGGGCTGATGAACCTCCTGCGAGAGATGGGGAAAGGTTACCTGGCGCTTTGCTCCTACAACTGTAAGGAGGCCATCAGCATCCTCAGCCAGCTGCCTGCTCACCACTACAACACTGGCTGGGTGCTGTGCCAGATCGGGAGGGCACATTTTGAGCTGGCTGAGTACATGCCGGTAAGTGGCCACGCTATTTCAAAGGCGTATCCCCAACATTTGCTGCCTTCCTTGCCCCCCTCGACCACACAGACCCCGGGGGAAGCTCCTGGGAGACAACAACTTGCATTTACACGGCGCCCCTCGCGCAGAGCAGCGCTCCAGAGCGCTTGGCAGTGGCGTAGCATGACCCCAAGCCGAGAGGGAGGGAGAGAGGTGACCGTAAACACGGTCAAAGAGAAAGGACTTCAGTCGTGATCTAAAAGGAGGGGGCAAGGCAGAGGGATTGGGGGAGAGAGTTTCAAAGGTTTTGGGGTGTAGTGGCTGAAAGCGTGGCCGCCGAGGGAGGGGGAGAGGAAGGAACAGGAGGCCAGAGACAGTCGAGTGGAGGCAGCGGGTAGTGGAGTGGGGAGAGAGAGCAGGTCAGAAAGGTAGAGAGGTGCCAGTGTGTGAAGGGATTTGTAGACGAGATTGGGAGCTCGTGGAGCCTGGCGAGGACCGGCTGCCAAGTGCATGTGTACAAGCCCTCTCCGCAAGTCAGGGCAACTCCTGTGTATTTAGTTTCCCCGTCAGACTCTTTGTTGCCTGTTCCAGGCGGAGAGGATATTTTCCGAGGTGCGGCGTATCGAGAGCTACCGTGTGGAGGGGATGGAGATCTATTCCACCACCCTGTGGCACCTGCAGAAGGATGTCACGCTCTCCGTCCTCTCCAAGGACTTGACTGAGATGGACAAGAATACACCAGAGGTGAGTCGTGGGGTCTTTCTTTTCCCAACCCCACCCCCCCCACACACACATTGTCAGGAAACCCATCGAGCCCCGTTGGTTGGTGCTGACAGCTTGGCTCTCTCACAGGCCTGGTGCGCCGCGGGGAACTGCTTCAGTTTACAGCGAGAGCACGACATCGCCATCAAGTTCTTCCAGAGGGCTATCCAGGTGGATCCCAACTTTGCCTACGCCTACACTCTCCTCGGGCACGAGTTTGTGCTGACAGAGGAGCTGGACAAAGCCTTGGCCTGTTTCCGAAACGCCATCCGTGTGAACTCCCAGCACTATAACGCCTGGTAAGCACAGTCTGCACAGTCTACATGTGCAGGTCAGGGTTTGGTGAGAACCCACAGCTCGGCATTCACTGTGTCTTTCACCCCTTTGACAGATACCTTGGGTTGGGGGGCGGGTTTAACAGGACAGGGGCTGGGGGTTCAGCACCACTGGAGGTGTCCATGCAGCTCTGCACTCGTTTGGAGGGGAAGGAATTACAATCCTAAGGGTGGGAAGGTGGAGGATGTCTATTCGTAGCGGGATCACAGGAAAGGAGGAGGCCATTCAGCCCCTCGAGTCTGTTCCGCCATTCCATAAGATCACGACTGATCAGTGCCTCAACTCCAATTACCTGCCCTTACCCCATAATCGCTTGATACCCCGACCTAAAGTGTACTTATCCGAGGGTTTGTGTGTTACACGAGGGTTTGTGCGTCTGCGGTTTGGAGAACCAGGGACTGCGATGCTCTGCCGTATCTCGAAATGCAAAGATTCTGGGTTACTTTACCTGAACCCTGGAGGGTCGGCAGGGAGAGCGAGAGAGCTGCCGGAGAGCGCCGTGAGTGACGTACCTCTGTCCTTCAGGTACGGTCTGGGGATGATCTACTACAAGCAAGAGAAGTTCAACCTGGCAGAAATCCACTTCAGGAAAGCGCTGAACATCAACCCCCAGAGTTCTGTGCTGCTGTGTCACATCGGAGTGGTGAGTGAGCAGCGACGGAGCTGGTCGAGGATCATACGTTCGCTTGATCGCGGCTTTCGAGTCCGCCGCAAAGCGCTTCGCGGGAGCCACTAAAGTGGATCGGCTGCGGTATCTGTGGGGGGGATGGATCGCGGCAGCCAACAGCGCACAGCAGCGCCCGCAAACATCGCGGGTTTCGGCGAACCGCGCTTTTTTTTTTCTTGGCGGGATCATTGCCTCGGGAAGGCGTTCGGCCGGTCGACTAACGGCTCACGGTTCCCGCTCACTGCTGCGTAAACAGAGGCGCGTGGGGTGAGGAAACTTGCCTCGGGCTTTGCCCTGACACCCCCACCCCCCCCCCACACCCTCACCCGGGAATAAATCCGTTTCCTCTGCGCTCTCTCTCTCTCTCTCTCTCGTTGGATTGTTGCAGTGTCGGGATGTCGCCACAAGTGGGCGAGACGGAGCAGGAATCGCTCCGCTTCTCCTCAGCTCAGAGCCGCTGCAGTCAGGACTGTGCCGGGAGGGGGGGGTCCAGTAACCGATCCTCCAGACAACAACAGCAACAGCAGCAGCGTGCAATTACACAGCGCCCCTCGCGCAGGGCAGCAGCCCCCCCCCCCCCCCCCCCCCCGAGCGCTCGGCAGTGGCAGAGCACGACACCGAGCCGGGGGAGGAGGAGGAGGGGGAAGAGGAAGGAGGGAAGGGGCGAGGCCGAGGGGGACGGAGGGAGAAGCGTTCCAGAGTTTCGGTGCCCGGTGTTGCCGAAAGTGCGCAGAGGGCACGAGCCACGCGTTTGAGCTCAGGCAGCCTCGGCCCGTTTCAAGCCGCCGATTGCCGCGGCCGCGTGTGTGTGTGTGTGCGTCGCGGCGGACGGCAGACGTGTTGCGGGGGAATTAAGTCTGTGTGAGCGGCCTGTAGGATTCCAGTCTCTGCGTTGGACGCTTTCACGGGATTTTCTTTTTTTTTTTTTCCTTGGATTCGTGTCTTTCAGGTCCAACACGCGCTGAAGAAATCGGACAGCGCTCTCGAAACTCTAAATAAAGCCATCGGAATCGACCCCAAAAACCCTCTATGCAAATTCCACAGAGCCTCCATCTTGTTTGCAAATGAGAAATACAAGGTGAGAACCATGGCTGCCAGTGCACTCTTTCTTTTATGCCTTCCACCCCCCTTCCCAGCCTGCAATACTGGGTACTTCCCCTCCCCACTCCCGCCCGCACTGACCTGTTGCCCCCCTCCCACACCGCTCCCTCGCGCCCGCCTTCATGTGCTGACGGGGGCCAGCGCAGTGGACCTTGTCTCGCTGTAACCTCTTGTCCTCTCCCTCTACCAGGCAGCTTTACAGGAGCTGGAAGAACTGAAACAGATCGTTCCCAAAGAGTCGCTGGTTTACTTCCTAATAGGAAAGGTAAGAGGCTGACGTCCGCATTGCTGAGGGGGAGGGGAGGGCGAGGCTTAGTTTCTGTAGTTGACTCGGGGGTGAGGCTGAGCTCATTTACACTCGTGTCTTTCCCCAGGGCCACTGCATGCTGTGTGTTACCCTCACTTGTGTAGTTTGTCTTAAGGAGAGGGAAGTGGTTGAGGACTCGGCTGTTGATGGAGAGGAGAGCAAGCATGGGACCAGTTAACAGGAATCCTTAGGACCAGCAAAGGCCCCTCAGATAAAATCCAGAATCCTCTTCCTCCTCTACTCCACACTCTCCCGCCATCTATCTCTCGGTCTCCGTATCATCTCCTTCTCCAGCATCAGGCCAGGCTGCCATCTGAGTCTCCTTCTCACCAGGTTTACAAGAAGCTGGGCCAGACTCACCTCGCGCTGATGAACTTCTCCTGGGCCATGGACCTGGATCCCAAGGGAGCCAACAACCAGATCAAAGAGGCCATCGACAAGCGCTACTTGCCAGACGATGATGAGCCAGTAACCAACGACGGGCAGCTCAGCGAGGGCTACCAGTACGACACAGGTCAGTGTTAGTGACCAGGCTGGTAGTATTGCCATGTTGTAGTAGTAATATTAATATCGTTGTATTTGATATAGTGCCTTATCACTTCTTTGAGACGTCTCAAAGCGCTTCACAGAATATACTGTAAGGTGGATCGACTGCGTGTATTTTGAGGGTGAAACACGGCAGCCAATTGCGCACAGCGGGTCCCACAAACAGTCGTGGATTGAGTGACCAAATTAGCATTATTTTTTTGGAGGGATTATTATCCCCGGAAAATCGAGCCGCCAATCGACTAACAACCAGGTTCTTACTTGCTGCTGCGTAAAGGCAGGCGCGTGGAGTAAGGAAACTTGCCTCAAGTTTCGCCCTGACCTGCCCGGGAATCGAACCCAGGTCCTCTCGCCCGCGAGGCGAGGGGCGCAAGGGCTCTAACCACTGAGCTACAGGACTCCGCTAACTGTAACCTTCTTCTCGCAGCGGGTACGGACGAGTCGCAGGAGAGCAGTATGACGGACGCGGACGACACTCAGCTCCACGCGGTGGAGAGCGAGGAGAGCTTCAACTTGTAAAAAAGGAAAAAAAGAAAGAAAAAAAAAATCTGTCCGAGCCCCAACCACAGCTCCACACAGTGACAGCTGCTCCTCTCTGGCCTTCGCTCCCTGCGTGTGTGTCTCTCTCTCTCTCCCTCTCTCCCTCACACACAGTCGGCCTGTGTCCCTCTCCGCTTCAGATATCTGTCTCATGCAATTTGCCAACGTGAAACGTACACAGATCCCGAACTGCTCTTTTAAGAAACACATCACTGCGTCACTGGGAGACTCCCACAAACTACTTTTTTTTTTAATTTACAGCCTCGGCGATATTTATGTTGGAAAAACGGGGCTTTGTTTTTAAACTTAAATGGTGTTCACTAACCCGAATGTCGACCTGTGGGTCTCTCGCTCTTCTCTCCCCCCCCACCTACCCAACCCCTCTCTGCTATTCCTGCTCACGCCAGGCGTGATCGTCGCTCTCTGTGGAAATCCAGAAACTTGTGCTGCTCTTTTTTAACGGACGTTCATCCCTAAGACTACTCTCGTACCTTGTACGTCGAGGGGCGGGTGAGGTGGGGAGAAGGGGGGGGGGGGAGGGAGCGGGGAGAGGGCGACCTGTAAGTGAAGACCCATCGTGCAAATGATATGTCGCTGGCGGTCAAACTGGCAACCGGGTTCTCAACCAGGTCCGGGGGCGCAGCGACCAGAGGGTTGCTGTGAAAGGAGATTTTTTAAAAAAAAAAACTCTTACCTTCCTCCTCCGCTCCCACCCACCCCCCCCCCCCCACCGCCCTAACCCCTATCCTCCCGGCCACCCCACCCCATTCCCCCCCCCCCCTCCCCCCACGCGCACACCCTCCCCCGACATTTATTTCGCCAGTTACAGCGCAGAGCGGCCTCTCTGTGAACGACCAGCGCTGGTCGCTTGCGACGGCGCACGTTTACGCCGGCCGTGGAAGCCCGGAACCTTCTGCTGCGGGCAGGGTAGCGCCAGCAAAGAAAAACTGAAAGCGCAATGTGTGTGAGCGTGCGTGTGTTGAAACGTAGTCTATTTTTTTAATTTTTTTTTTTTTCTTTTGCCTTTAATACTGTAACTCGTTCCACGTGGATTTTTTTTTTTCTCTCTCTCTCTCTCTCTCTCCTGTTGCTTAATCCCTTTTTAATTTCAGATTTGTACAGTCTTAGAAAGTCTTTTTGTTAATATATTTGCAACTCAGTTTAATGATGTGAAAAAAATCGAAAATAAAATACTTTGAAAACCTTTTAAGTTGCTGGATGGTTGACTTTTGATGTGATTTTCACCCTCTGGCCTCGAGAGGTTCCACGAACAGCGACCGGGAGGGCGTGTGGGCACTCGTGAGTCTCTGATCCTCCCTCCGCTCTTTCAACCCCTTTTGCCTTTAAAAAATATTAAATTCAGCCTTGAACGGAAAGCTGCGGAGGTGAGTTACCGGCGCCGTGGAACACCCTCGCCCCGCGAGAAAGCGCTTAATGCCAGTGACAAACCGCGGGGTGAAAAAATAATAATAATAATAATAATGTGGTCACTTGGTCCACAGTTGGGGGGGCACTGCTGGGTGCAATCGGCTGCCAAGTTTCACCCACAAAATGCCGTCGAGTCGATCCCACTTTACCGTGCGTTCCGTGACCGTGCTCGGAGGCGTCTCGGAGACCGGATAAAGCGCTCGATCGAACGCAAGGACTGGTATGTGGAGTCCTGTAGCTCAGTGGTTAGAGCACTCGCTTTGCAAGTGAGAGACCTGAGTTCAATTCCAGGCAGAGGGCGAAACCTCGGGCAAGTTTCCTTACTCCACACAGAGCCTAATAATAATCCCTCCAAAAAACCCCAAACAATAATAAATTGGTCATTTGAATCTACGACACTTTGTGGGACATTGCTGTGCGCAATTGGCCGCCGCGTTCGCCCACAAATATACAGTCAGTTCACTTTACAGTGTGTTCTGTGAAGCGCTTTGGGACGTCCTCCCGACGTGAAAAGCGCTATATCAAATGCAAAGATTATTATTATTATTAGTTTCCAAAGTCACGTTGATGCTGGAGGGACATTCCCGTCGAATAACAGCTCGCGGAGTCGGTCAAAACGGCCACAGCAGGAATGGTGCGCAGATTGCGTTCGCTCACGTACCTGCGGAACCACACGCAACTCGCGGTTAGTGGCGGTGGTGGTAACGATAATAAACCTCGTGGTAGTTTGGTCGGGTGCCATGTGGGTGTTTTCTGATTGGTTCCAACTTTTCAGTTCAACCAGTTCCTGGGTGCAGGCGATCTCACTGTACCTGAGCTCTGAGATTGTCAGGGTCCGAATCCCTGACTGTCCAGTGCCTCGGGATGTCCTACCGATATGAAAGGCGCTGTAAAAGGTGGTGTTGGTGGGTGGGATGGCGGAGGGGGGGGGGGGGGGGGTGGTGTAGGAGACCGCTACTGGGAGAGAAGAGAAGATGTTCTCTATTTTGGATCTAATTTGTCTCTTTACAGACTAGAAGACGTAGGAGCAGGAGGAGGCCATTCGACCTCTCGAGCCTGTGCCCCGCCATTTAATACGATCATGGCTGAGCTTCCAACCTAATTCCATTTTCCCGCCCTATCCCCGGATCCCTTGATCCCTCGATCCCTTTAGAAATCTATCAACCTCAGTCTTGAATATGTTCAAGGACTGACTGAGCATCCACGGCCTCCTGGGGCAGAGAATTCCACAAACGCACTACCCTCGGAGTGAAGAAATGTTTCCTCAACGCAGTTCGAAAAGGCTGACCCTTAATCCTGAGGCTGTGACCCTTAGTTTTAGATCCTCCAACCGGGGGGAACGGTCTCACGGCGTCTCCCCTGTCGAGACCCTTAAGAATCTTATAGGTCTCTACAAGATCAGCTCGGATTTTTCTATATTCCAGAGAATATGGACCTCGGTTACCCAACCTGTCCTCGTGGGTCGACCCCCTCATCCCAGGAACCAACCCCCAGTGAATCTACGCTGCGCCCCCTCCAAGGCGAGGATGTCCTTTCCGAAATAAGGAGACCAAAACTGCGCGCGATGTTCCAGGTGCGGTCTCACCGAGGCCTTATCCGGCCGCAGAGAGACTTCCCTACGCTTGTACTCTTAACCCTTCTGCCGCGAACGCCGACGTGGCCTCAGCCTTCCCAGGCGCTCGCTGCACCCGCACACTCACCTTTTCGTGACGGGTGTTACAAGGACACCCCAAATCCCTCTGAACGCTAACTCTTCCCCCTCTGGAAAATGATCCGCTTTTCTCTATGGACAGCCTGGGCGAACCACGGCAACACTCCCCCCCCCCCCCCCCCCCCCCCACCACGTCGTATCCGTCACTCTCTTCTGCCCAGTCCTCGCTCCCTCAGTCCCACCATCGCTGAACAACCTTCAGCCCCTCTCGATCGTAGGATCTTACACTCCCTTTGACGTTGCTTTTGGTCAAACCCCTCACCACCCCCACCCCCCCACCACCCCCTACCACCCCCCCTCAACACTCTGCTCTCCGTCACACCTGTCGAGCTCTTTGAAGTGATCGCTGCGTGTAACTGACGGTGGGAAAACCAGGACAGGGCAGGAATTCCTGGGACGTTCTGACGCGGTGGGGCAACGGAAATGTGCCTCCTGTATGTAAGTGCATCGAGGGGGACCCGGGGCGGAAGGCGGATCCGCGGTTGGGTCGAGGTACAGCTCGGCCGTGACCTAACGGAATGGCGGAACAGGCTCGAGGGGCTGAATGGCCTCCTCCTGGCTCCCTCCGTTCCGCTTTTGAGTTGTTGTTCGTCTCCTCATTCTTTACCCCCTCCTCAATCCCTCCCGGCTTCAAACCGCTTGATTTTTAACCCCATCATTTTCCTCTTCTATTGCTCCCCATTCCCTCCCTCCCCCTCCCTCTCCCTCCCTCCCCCTCCCTCGCCTTTATTCTCTCCTTCTTTCTCTCTGTCTCAGTGTCTCATTTCCTTTCTCCCTGTGTCAAACTGCTCCTTGTTACCCACCACCTCCCCACCCGCCCGCCCACCCACCCAATCACCCACCCACCTGCCACCCGCCCACCTGCCATCCGCCCACCTGCTGCCCACCCACCATACCCACCCACCATACCCACCCACCCTTCTTCTCATCCATCACCACACTTTGGAGGCACTTGGACACTATCTGCTGACACCCTCTCTCCACCCAGTCGCTTAGTTCGTTTTCCCCTCCGACTCCCCTTCCCCTACGTAACGTGGGGACAACCTGCCCCTCAGGGGGTCCTCCCTTTGCCCCCCAACTCTTCCCCCTCTCTCTCTCGCCCCTTTTTTTAGCACTGAGCAATTCCACTCACTCCAACCAACCCCTCCCCCCCGCGCAACCTAACCTGGGGGGGGTGGGGGTGGGCGGAGCGACTGACTGAGTGACGGGGCGGCTCGGCCAATCGCGGCGCGACTCCGGGCCGAGCGTCCAATGGGAGGGGAGGGGGGGGAAAGGGGGCGGCATTTCCTGCAGCCAAGTTAGTGTGAGAGCTCAGCTGTGCTCTCAGCTGCTGCTCAATGGGACTGTGTGTGGGGGCAGCCGAAGCCACACTGGGCACAGGGGGCCATGGAGTGGCTGTGCACAGACCCCCTCCCCTCCCTCCCCCCCACCCCAAACTGGTGCCAACCCACCCCCACCCTGACCTCTCCCCACCCCACCACCCCCACCCCCCCCCACCCCCCACCCCCACACACACAGCTCTCCTCTCCTTCCTCCTCCTCTTCCTCCACCTCCTCCTTCCCACCCAATGCAACTGGCAGTTGGCAGCATTTTCGTGGGGAGTGGGTGAGGTGAGGTGAGGTGGGAGTGTTGGGAGTCTGTGTGCAGGAAAGGACCCCCACCCCACCCCCCCCCCACCCCCCCACCACCTTCCATCACCCCCCCCCCCCACCCCCCACCCCCAATCCCTGCTCTTGCTGAGGGCCAGACTTGCATGAAGTTTAAAGAGAGTCCCTGATGGTAAGTTCTCCCCAGGAGCAGCCTTCAGCCCTTCCTTCCTTCCTCCCTCCCCATCTCCCCCCCCCTCCTCCCCCCCCCTCCTCCCCCCCACCAAACCCCTCCCTCAACCTTTGCAATCTGCAATCTACCTCCTTTCTCACACTCTCTCCTTTTTTTTTTCTCTCTCCCTCTCTTCTCTTCCCCCCTTTCCCCCCCACCCCACAGACAGTCTGAAGACATCTCCAGCCATAGGAGGCCTTACTGCTGCTTTGCTGCTGCTGCCGCCACTTGGACGTGGGCTGCTCGGAGCCTCAGGAAGATTGTAAGAAGCCACTTTCTTCTCGGTTCGCTCCTCGTCGCAACGATGGAAATGTTACACACAGAGAGAGAGAGAGAGAGAGAAGAGAGAAATGAAGATTTTAGATTTTCTCGATACATAGATTTTCTTTTCAGATGCTTTAAAAAAAATTTGGCCTGAGATCTCGTAAGAGGTTTTGTGACTTCTGCCCACGTTAAGTCGAAGGTTTGGGGTTAAGATTCTCCAGAGCGGAGTTAGAGTAGGAATCAAACCTCGACTGGACCCCGGACGTCTTAACTCAGTTGGTGGGGGGGGGGGGGGCAGTGGGTGGGGGGTGGTGGGGAGAGGGCAGTATTTGGATTGAATGCCCTGATGCCCTGAAGCAAATTTAGACTCTTAACAGCACAGAAAGTGTTCGTACAGCCCCGGGTAACATCTCTGTCTTGGAAACCCCCCCCACCCGCCCGCCCACCCACCCCTGCTCCCGCTCCCTCCCTCTCTCTCTCCCTCTCGTCGGTCCGTTCCCCCCCTCGACCCCCTCCGCAATAATAATTCTTGCATTTGATAGTAGCACTTGACAGGACTGACTGTAAAGACAATCGTCTTGTGTATTTTGTGGGCGAAATATCCATGTCCCCCGTTAAAGTTCTCGCTTTAGTTCACTGGAAAGAACCTCCGAAGGTGTGGTTTAGTTTTACTTTTATAAATATTTGTACCATCATTTTGGATTTTAAAAATTCCCAATTTTCTCCCCGCTTTTCTGGGGGACGGGACCATTCACAGCCAGTATGTCACCTACGTACACTCCTACACCCACCCCTCCCCTGCCCTCCACCCCTCCTGATCCCAACCCCCAACTGCCCAACGCCTTGGGACATCCTCCTGACGTGAAAGACCCTGTGTACGTGTAACTTGTTGTTAGTGTCACCAAAATAACCATTTTTTTTCACGCCTTAAAGGGGTTCAGTTGAAGAGTGGGTGGGTTTGGGGGGGTAGGAGAGGGAATCTTCCCTAAATCCCAGTCTCTCTTTTCCCCCTGTTCGGGGTCCAGTCGAGGTTTGATTCCCACTCTTAACTCAGCTCTGGAGAATCTTAACCCCAAACCTTTTCCCCTGTTCTGGGGAAAAACTTCACAGTTTGGACACCAAACCACCAAATTATTTAAATCCAGCCTTGATTTGTCTTGGTTTTATTTTGTTCCGAATGAGACTGAATTGACGAATTTTAAATTCTATGACGATAGTTTTCCAACTGGGGGGGAAAGAGACAACAACAAGATTTCATTTAGAGAGCGCCTTTCACGTCGGGAGGACGTCCCAAGGCGCTGGACAATTGGATCGGGACCCGAGCATTGGGGGGAGATGGTCAGGGTGAGGGGAGGGAAGGGAGGGAGCGAGGAGGGGGTAGAGTCGAGAGGGGAGCTGAAGGCAGGGTCAAAGAGAAAGGTCTTGAGATCAGCCTTGAAGGAGGAAAGGGAGGAAGCGGCGAAGGCACTGAGGATGGAGTTCCAGAGGCTGGGGGCTGAGAGGCTGAAGGCTCGGCCACCGATTGTAGGGCGGTTGGGGCGGGGTATGTGGAGCAGACCGGAGTCAGAGGAACGGAGTGTACGGGCAGGTAGGTAGGGGGAGAGTAGGTCGGAGAGGTAGGAGGGAGCAAGGTTCAGGCCCCCAGTGTCCTGCCCTTGAGGGGTGTCTTTTGTTGCCTGAAGGGGAACATTCTTTATCTACATCTTCATTCTGATGGTCATTTGGAAGCTGTGTTTTTTTTCTGAGGTTCTTAAGAAGAAACCAGCTCCCAAAATTCAGGCTGGATTTAAGAATTTTCCCCAATTCTAATCGTAACTAGAAAGATCAACTCGGATGGGTTTGCCTGCTAGGTCTTGGTGAGTGGCTCAGTCCTGTCTAGCACTGACACTGTCTTCATGTGAGTAGGGAGTTGGATTTACCAGACTTGGCCTGGGAAAGCTCAAATGGTTGAGTGTTGGACCTGGGACCGGAAGGTTCTGGGTTGGAACCTCGGTTGACTTGGGCCTTCGCCTCGTTGGGGAGGCTGGTGGGAAGAAGGTAAGTGGGACTCCTCGGAGTATTAGGTTGACTGCTTCACAGTGATCAGAGGCAGACTCTGAGGTGTAGACACGACCTCCCATCCTGAGAGCCAAAGCTCTGATGAGTTGGGTGGTCCCGGCCAGGCAACTACCATGGCTCAGTCAGCAGGACTCTCACCCTATGGGTTTAAGGCCCACTTGGGGACTTTGAGCTCACAGTCAAGTGTAGTACTGGGGGAGGGGAGGGAGTGTGCTGTATAGATGCTGCCCTTGAGATGAGACATTAAGCTGAGGTCCCATCTAGGTTTGTTCTGGTGGTTGTCAAAGTTCCCCACAGCGCTGTTGGAAAGCGGAAGGCAGTTTTTCTTCTCCCAGTGTCATGGCCGACAATCCGGTAGATAAAACGCTCATTCACTTCACAGCTGGTTGTAGGACTTTGCTGTGCACGAAAGTGGTTGCAGTTTTTTGGCAACAAAATACAGTCACTAGACTTGCCAGCAAATGCCTGTGAAGCACTTTGAAGCATTTTTAGCTGTAAAATCATTTTATTGTCCATCCAAACCAATCCCCTTCTATGGTACACCTAAACCTAGTGCAGTGGTACCTGTGTCTTCCCCTTCAGGCCCCATTGATGGACAGCTGGTCTGGTCAATCCATTATTGTGCTGTAATCCTGTAATCCTGTCTCTTTACAGCCAGTTCAGGCCAGAATACCCGCTCCCCATCTGCCCTCTAACCCTCCCCTCCCTGGGGGAGGATTGTTTCAGCCCAGATTCCCACTATCGATCTCATGATCAGTGGCGCTTCGGGGATTCGAACCCAGAACAAGACTTGGTCCCAAGTCCCGTGCTCAACCAACCGGCCGAGCTACTGCTCTGGGCCTGTGGAGGTGGGGGTGAGAAATCTTGCTGAAATCTGGACGTTCTCTGCTTGTAGGGACTGGAGCAGACACGGAGACCTGAGGAAGGGCTGAACCTCTCTGTGCAGCAATGATGGATCTCCATGTCAAAGAGGTCAAGGTAAGATGGGCATGAGGGGGGGGGGGGGGGTGTTGTCTTATGGATTAGCCGCACCAGCTTGTTGTTTATTCCGGCTCTTCCTCACCTGATGGGCATTTGGTTACTCTCCCCACCTCACCCCCACCCACCCCACACCTCGTTCAAGCGGAGCCCTGAGGAGCGAGGGTGGAAACGGTGGTGGGAGGGAGTCCCATTCCAGGAGCCCCAGGATAGGGTGTGTGGGGGGGGGTCACGGGGAAGGCAGCGCCTGGTAACAAGATAGCCAAATCGACCAAAAATAAATCCTTTTCACTTCCAATGATTAATAATAATAATAATAATAACACTATTCCTTGCGTTTGGTGCAGCGCCTTCTCACGTTGTTGAGACGTCTCGAAGCGCTTCACACTGCAAAGTGAATTGACTGTGTACACTGTGTGACAAATGTTAGACACTGCATTTCAATTATATTATGTTGAATTTAACAGTAATTTGACTGAGATTGTTTTCCAATTAAATTAGACTGAGGCTGTTCCTCACTCCCTGTTAAAGACCAGAGAGGGGAAGGAAGGTCTCAGCTGCACTGTGGCTGATGGTGGGTGTAGGTCCTGTTTCGGCCACAAGGCGTCGCTCCCCACAGAATCCACTGTTGACAATCATTAGCTTTGCAGGTGTTTGGGGGGTGTGTGTGTTTGGGGTGTGTGTGTGTTTGGGGGGTGTGTGTGTTTGGGGGTGTGTGTGTTTGGGGGTGTGTGTGTTTGGGGGGTGTGTGTTTGGGGGGTGTGTGTGTTTGGGGGGGTGTGTGTTTGGGGGGTGTGTGTTTGGGGGGTGTGTGTTTGGGGGGTGTGTGTTTGGGGGGGTGTGTGTTTGGGGGGTGTGTGTTTGGGGGGGTGTTTGGGGGGTGTGTGTGTTTGGGGGGTGTGTGTGTTTGGGGGGTGTGTGTGTTTGGGGGGTGTGTGTGGGGTGTGTGTGGGGTGTGTGTTTGGGGTGTGTGTGTGGGTGTGTTTGGGGTGTGTGTGTTTGGGGTGTGTGTGGGTGTGTGTTTGGGGGGTGTGTGTGTTTGGGGTGTGTGTGTGTGTTCGGGGTGTGTGTGTGTTTGGGGTGTGTGTGTGGGGTGTGTGTGTGTGTGTGGGGTGTGTGTATGTTTGGGGTGTGTGTATGTTTGGGGTGTGTGTGTTTGGGGTGTGTGTATGTTTGGGGTGTGTGTATGTTTGGGGTGTGTGTGTGGGGTGTGTGTGTTTGGGGTGTGTGTGTGGGGTGTGTGTTTGGGGTGTGTGTTTGGGGTGTGTGTGTGTGGGGTGTGTGTGTGTGGGGTGTGTGTGTGTGGGGTGTGTGTGTTTGGGGTGTGTGTGTGGGGTGTGTGTGTTTGGGGTGTGTGTGTGTGGGGTGTGTGTGGGGTGTGTGTATGTTTGGGGTGTGTGTGTGTGTTTGGGGTGTGTGTTTTGGGGTGTGTTTGCGTGTGTGTGTATTTCAATACCTCTGTCTTCCGTTTTGCATTACATTTTCACTCTTCTATGACAGTTTTGTTTATAAAAAAAAGAAACTTAATTTCCCCCTAAAATTCCCAGCAGAGTATATATTTGGTAGAGAGCCGTAAACGCGTAGTGACTGTAATGTCTTGTGGGCAAACAAGTTGAAATAACACCTACGGCCGGGAGACGCGACTCCGAAAGCTCTCTGTACGCTGTCCGTCGTCAGCACTCCCAGGTTAGCGACGGCACAGGTTAGAGATGGCGTGAGGTTTTGCTGTCGTTTGGGGTCCTGTCGCTCAGGGGTTTAGAGCACTCGCCTCGCAAGCGAGAGGACCCGGGTTTGATCCCCGGGCGGGGCGGGCGGGGCGGGGCGGGCGGGGCGAAACGTTGGCCAAGTTTCCTTACTCCACGCGCCTCTTTTACCGAGCAGTAAGTAGGAGTCCAGTTGTTCATCGAATGGCAGATCACTTTTAATAATAATAATAATAATAATCCTCGCATTTGATATAGCGCTTTTCACGTCTTCTCGACGTCCCAAAGCGCTTCACAGAACGCACTGTAAAGCGAATTGACTGTATATTTGTGGGCGAACGCGGCGGCCGATTGCGCACAGCAATGTCCCACAAACAGTCGCGGATTGAAAATGACCAATTTATTATTGTTTTGGGTTTTTGGAGGTATTATTATTAGGGCTCTGTGTGGAGTAAGGAAACTTGCCCGAGGTTTGGCCCTGACTGACCCCCCGGGGATTGAACTCGGGTCTCTCTCTTGTAAGCGAGTGCTCTAACCACTGAGCGACAGGACTCCACTTTTCCGGGGTTGGTAATCTTTTTTTAAAAAAAAAGCATTTGGTTACTCAATGGGACACTGCTGTGCGCAACCGGCCGCTGCGTTTCGCCCACAAAATATACAGCTATTTCGGTTGTTACTTAAAGGCTGGACTTGAGGTACCGATCTGCCGTGATCTTATAGAATGGCAGAACAGGCTCGAGGGGCTGAATGGCCTCCTCCTGTTTCTATATCTCAGTCTATTCTGTGTAGCGCTTTGAGACGTCCCAACGACGCAATATCGAATGCGTGGATTATGATTATTATTCTTTTAGTTTAGTTTCTTTCGAAAGAAGACCTGCTCGTTCGTTTCATACATTTGAGCCGTGTCATTCCACATTGATAAGAAATCACTCCCTGTGTCTGTCGGGGGAAGTGACTCACTCTCTCGCGCCTGGGAAGCACAGATAAGCCGCTGTGAGTTACAAACACCATTTATAAAATTCAATTACCTTTGACGTTGGGTCCAATTATCGTGTCACAGCATCTTACCTTTGCTTTGTGGTGTGAGACAGCTCTGCTCGCTGACATCTTTCTGTTTAACAACCCCTTTGCTGACTTAAAACGGACACAGTATCATGACACCGGCCCCGCGCCCCCGCTTTCAAAAAACTTGAACTCCTACCCTTCACAAGATAACTTTCTCACTGTATGGCAGTATTTCGAGAGGACCTAAGATCGTGTAACCCTGACCTGGGAGTGTGGACGGACGCACAGTGTAGAGGAGCTTTACTGTGTCTCTAACCCTGACCTGGGAGTGTGGACGGACGCACAGTGTAGAGGAGCTTTACTGTGTCTCTAACCCTGACCTGGGAGTGTGGACGCACAGTGTAGAGCTTTACTGTGTCTCTAACCCTGACCTGGGAGTGTGGACACACAGTGTAGAGCTTTACTGTGTCTCTAACCCTGACCTGGGAGTGTGGACGCACAGTGTAGAGGAGCTTTACTGTGTCTCTAACCCTGACCTGGGAGTGTGGACACACAGTGTAGAGGAGCGTTACTGTCTCTAACCCTGACCTGGGAGTGTGGACGCACAGTGTAGAGGGAGCGTTACTGTCTCTGACCCTGACCGGGGGTGTGGACGCACGGTGCAGAGGGAGGTGTAACTCCAGATCTAGCCTGTGCTGTACCAGTGGATGCTGCAGATACCCAGAGACTGATTTTGGTTTTGATTAACCTGAAACTGAACAGCAGCCAAAGGAGGTGAGATTCAAAATGTTCCAACAACAACAAGTGACGTTTGTGTAAGCGTCTTTCACGCCAGCAAGACGGTCAGGGATTTTGATGCACCACCATAAACCCAGATTGTTGTGATCGGCGGCGGCGGGAGGCGGGGGTGGTGGGGGGGATGGTGTTGGTGGGAGAGAGAGAGAGAGAGAGAGACGGTTTGGGTTCACCGAGTGGTTTAGATTGTCCGGTTCCTGAACCGTGGCGGCACTGAGCATCCTGGGCGTGTTTCCTGGCGCGAGCGGCTCAGCTCATGTCCACAAGGCCGTCCACTGCCTTCTTTTTGTTTTTCCTCCCTTCGGCCTCCAGTTAGGAAGTTACATGTACAGAAAAGGGAGGACGTTTAAGCCTTTGAAAACAATCCGGTCCGTGCCAAGTCAGTCCCTCTCCGAACCGTTGGGAATGTAACTCTCCTAAGCTGCAGTTGTTGGGCTGCATTACAGGAAAGCAATGCCGACGTTTCGTTGTCGGAAGGGCACGTGTTTGAAGGAAGAAAGAAAGACCTTGCCTTTTTTTTTAATATAGAAGTTTCCTCACTGTCCGCATGCTGCACAGCAATTACTGCCGAGTGCATCGACTTGGACAAACAAAGACAAAAAGATCCTGTGACACAGTTGGAAAAGAGAAGGGAGTTTCCTCACGTGTCTTATTTTAAACCGATAAAGGCACTGTAGGAATGCAAGTCCTTTCTCTATTTTATCAGTGACTGTTACCTAACCCGTAGACGGAAAGTGGGATGTTGTCAACTTGAGCGCTAACTCCTTTTAAACTACAGTATTCACAACTTTGTCTGAACCGCTGTCTCTCCTTTGGCTCGAGTGGTCCTGGGAACACTTGTTCCCCAATCCTTGGAACCTGTTTGTACAGAGTGAATTGGCAAGACCCAAACCAGTGAGTCAGCACAATGCTGAGAAACCTGCAAGATTAACTCTCCGTTTGCTGAAAAGAGCTGCATATGTGTGTGTTTTTAATTATCAAAGCCAGCTGCGAGGAGTGCTTTCCTGGGGGGTAATAATCCCTTCAATAAACAAATAAATAAATAAATAAATAAATAATAATAATTTAGTCGCTCAATCCACAACTGTTTGTGGGGGACACAGCTGTGTGCAATCGGCTGCCACATCTTCACCCACAAATTATAGTCAATTCACTTTACGTTTTGTTTTAACGGGTAATTGTAGTTGAGGTACAGATCAGGCATCGATCTTATAGAGTGACGGAACAGGCTCGAGGGGCTGAATGGGCCACTCCTATTTCTATATTGCAGTATATTCTGGGAAGCGCTTCGAGACGTTCTCGAAGACGCGATAAGGCTCCCATCAAACGCAAGGATTATTATTACTTCTGTCGCACCTTTCTCAACCGGGAGGATGTTTCGAAACCCCTTAAAAGTGTGCGAGTCGGTTAGGGTTTGCGCATAAGATTTGGGGGACACCGTCCCTGATCATCATCATCAGAATAATTTTCGTAAATGTTTATTTTGGCGATCAAAAA